TTCCAGCTACTTCTCTGAGACTTTCAGCTTCATGGTCTTTCTCCTCTCTTTCTGGAACTTTGAGGACACTAGTGCTAGATCTATTACACTTTTACAAGTCCCTAAGGCTCTGCTCATTTACTTTCAGTCTACCTTCTCTGTTGTTCAGACTGAGTGCTTTCTATTGTTTCATCTTCCAGTTCACTGATTCTTTCCTCTGTCACTCCATCCTGACACTGAACTCAACCATTATGCAGTGTATTTTTTTCAGCTCTAAAATGCCAATTTGTTTTTTATACCTTCTATTTCTTTGCTGAGAATTTCTATTTCTTTACTGAGGTTATTTTTTATTTGTTTCATTATGCTGATAATTGCTTGTTGAAGCATTTTTTGGCATGGCTCTATAAAGCTTGTCAGATAATTCTAACATGTCTTATCTCAATGGTGACATCTATTAGTTGTCTCTTTTTGTTCAGTTGAGATCTTCCTGGCTCTTGGTTTAATGAGTAAATTTTTACTGAACCTGGATGTTTTCATACTATGTTTCATATTATGAGACTGGATTTTATTTAAACCTTCAGTTTTTGCTAGCATTCAACAATACTGCTCTGGCCCCTTTACTGTCAAGTGGAGACAGAAGTCCAGTTTCTCCACTCAGCAACCATTAATACCTAAGGGTGGGGAGCTCCTGTTACGGCTGGGTGTTCCAGTTTCCCATGTGGTCTCGACAGATGTCACAGTACAGGTGACCTGGTTACCATTTGGTCATGGTGAAAGCACTGACTTTCTAGAGGCTTCCTGTGATACTACCCTAGTGGGGTAAAGGATGCTGCTGGGTGAGGAAAGAAATTCAGGATTCTCATGTGTTCTCCACTGACATCACAGAGAGAGTGAGCTCATAACTGGCTAGCTAGGATGAAAATCATGACTCCCTACTTGGCCATCACTGATACCACCCCCGTGGAGGTGTGGACTGGGTGGGGTAGCATTTTACAGATTGGCTGTAAGTCTAGTCTCCCCATGCAGTCTTTGCTGGCATGCATGGGGGTAGGGGACAGTTTCTTCTGTGATATTTTTCTGGACTAGAGAGACTGCAGTCTACAAGTTTTCTGTCTTGCCAGGCTGTCCCTTTCTTGAGAGGGATCAGGCTTTAATTGAGGTTTTTAATGTCTGTAACCACTGGTGTTTCCAGGTTGCCAGTGTCTTCACCTCTAGGTCTGCACTATTTCAGGCAAGAAGGAAATTCAGGTAACTCATCACTATGTTGTCTTTTGGGTCCATCTGTCTTCTTCTTTTCACCTTTCAGAGTCTTCTTATGTGTCTTTTACACATAGCGACCAGTACTGTAGTTGTACTTAGAGGAAGACGGAAAAGTACATCTACTCCATCTTCCCAGAAGAAGCTCCTAAGTAAATTTTTAAACAGTGATATCTACTACTTTAAATAACTTTTAAAAATAAATAATACATAAATTCACGGAATAATATACAATTGTTTTTTAAAAAATAGGTAATGCTATTGCAGTGATACAGAATGACTGCTAAAATATATTAAGTGACAAAAGGTATACATGATCTGTAGAGGATGCTATGAGTGCAAAAACAGAATTCAAAATGCATACACCCATGTATACACTAGTACATGCACCATGTATCACTGGAACATTATGTAAGAAACTCATAATGGTAGATATCCTTGGGGAAGGAAAATGAAAGACTGGGGGGAAAGCAGGGAATGAGAAGAAGGGGACTAAATTTTTGCATTTTTGCATATGTTACCTTTCCAAAAGAACAAGTAAGTAATGTTTTTAAATAATAAATTTTACCTTGAAAAGTAAGCAGGCAAGACCTGAAAATCCTGTAGATGACTAGTAAGAAATTTATGTAGTTAAAATTTTTAAATGCTACATACTGTAATAGCAAAAGAATTAATAAATAGTTCAGGAGACCAGAACAGAAAACTAATTGTAAGAACTAGAACACGAGCTAGTATAGATTAATAACTACTTTTAAAGTGAATTTTAGATCCTGGAGTAATGGCGGGCTAGGTACTTGGATCAACCTTCCTACTAAAAACTAGCAGGCAAAAGGAAAACAGCCACAGCATCTTGGATCACGCCACCTCAGGGCACAGGTCCTCAGGTGAGTTCCTCCAATTGCCCCAGATGAACTTATTCCCTTCATTTCTAGGAAGACGCAATGAGGGAGATAAACACTAAAGAACTGACATGGCACAACAAAAAAAAAGTGCTAGGTTGAGAGTTCTGGGTTGGAATCTCTGTTCCACTCCCTGGAACTGTGTAATCTCACATATCCTCAATATCCTCATCTGCCTGGGCAGTCACTCTCAGGGTTACAGCTAGAATTAAGCAGGAAT